CCCCCCCCCCTCCGCCCGCCCCCACCCGTTGCTACTGACAACAACACCTCAACCAAGACTTTGAAGAGGCGGGCAGCTGCGCGATCCTTCAAAAATGACGCTGTTGGACTCATCAAAGAAGGGCAGAAGCAGCACCCCCCCTTTGCTCTATCTCTGAGAAAGTCTGCCATATGTACAGTTCAGAGTTTAAAGCCCCCCCTCACACACACACACACACACACACATACACTGTACAAATAACATAACAGATTAATTTACTTCTCTGTAGATAAAGAAAAACTTCCTGAGGGAGACGCATGCTGACCGCAGTAGACGAACACACTGGATCATTTTAGACCACTTTACAGTCTGGGGGGGGGGGTTTAGGGGGGGCTCACCTGTGAACGGATGAAGGGTCACTCTGCTTTGGTCATCAGGCCGTCACACCTGTGGCTCCAAAGGAGGAATGTAATGAGCCCAGCCAGAGCTCCTCAGTTCATTTGTGGAAGAAATGACACACATTAAGGATCTGCGAACATTCCCATCCAGACTTTTACATCCAAGCTGAGCAGTGAATTGGAAGAGGGAACATCTTGGTCTCTTTTTACTGCGGAATCAAGAAGTACGAGCAGAACTCAAGGGAGCAGAGTACAACAGCCATAAGTAGAAGTAAAATCAATTACGAAAGGAATTTCTGCAAAAAACAAAACGTCTGTAAAGTGGCTTTCAGACCAGAGTTCAGAGGTAATCATCATAACATAGAAGAGGAGAAACCCCATGTATCACACTGCAGAGAACCAAGGTTAAACTAAAGCTAGATGGAGATTCTCTGGCATCATTTCCCCAGGCACACGTTTCCACTGCGGCCCGTTTGCAGAGCGGCTGAGCTGAGTTCTGGTCAATTTGCTTTGTGCCGACGGGGCGTCCACACCTGAAAATAACGGCTCTGCGTGGCCTCCCTCAGAGCCCCAGAGAGGGGGTGGCCCTGACTCACCCGTGTGGTTTTACACTTTACAAGCTAAAAGAGAAACAAAAGCAGCTGAAAAATCCTAAAGGTGGAACCATTTTTGGTCATTTGTGCCAAAAAAAAAAGAGAACCATCAACCTGAACAGGTGAATTTATTCAAAAATGTGATTTTTATCATTATTTTACAGGCTTAAAATAAAGCAGTGATGAGCTGGACACAATGAGAAACGGCTGAATGGATGATTTGGCAGTAAAATTCCAATTTTATTCAGCTTTTTGCAACAAAAAAAAAGACCTGTAAACCTGCATCACGGACAGGTTATCCTCTGATGAGCAGAAGAGCCCGTTTAACAAACTGTAAATGACCCAGGCCACATTTGGACATCACACGAAGCCGGTTGGAGCTGAATTTGGCCATGAATATTACAAACAGTTGATTTAGTGTTTTGTCAGCAGAAAAAGCTTTAATTTCTAATAATTTTCCCTTCTCTGATGCACAGCTGAACTGAACGCCGGCTCCCCTCAGAGGAAATGTTGGAATACCTCTTAGTATCGATTTACCACTGAATAATAATCTCTTTTTAAGAACGTTTGGTTTCATTTTATAATCTGAATGCGGCACCCAACAAGATTGTGTTTTGATGATTTTTAAGTGCAATATATTTATTTTGCTCTCTCTGGAAATAATGTGTAATGTACTATACCACATTTAAAGTTATTTGTAAACCATGAGAAATATATCTATCACCACCCAAGCACTTCTGTCTTTTTCTTTCATCCTGATCTATTGATTGAAAATGTGCTCTTAATGATCATCAGATACAGATAACTAGTGACTTTTTTATGATAAATTACTTTTGCACGGGTTTTGGCTCACTAACAGTGAAATAAGGAAATAATATATTTCGTAATTAGAGATGTAAACAGCATTCTGTGGACTTTCCAGCATCATTTAGTGGAAACCGCCTCAGAATATCCCACAGCACCACCTGGTGGACACACACTGTAACCGACTGAGACCCACAACCCAATAAAATCACAATATCTACATAACTAAGCAGCCACTTTAACTAAGGTTTAGTGTTGGTAGCTACAAAGTTCAATTATTTTTTTTTCGAACTTTTGATCTTTATAAAAAAGCATTTGTGCAGATTTGTGTTTGTACAAAATTATGATTAATCTACATATTGAATCAAACTCTTTTTAAACTGTAAGGAAAAGTTGAAATTATGACCAGCCATTATCCTCTTTATGATAAACAATGTGACATATTTACTTGCCAAGCACAATTAAAAAAAATAGGTTGAAGGTGTTTCTGAAACATGAATTATTCGCCTTAGTGTCCATATTCTTTAAGGGAGGATAGTCACTCAGAACAACTGCATTCCTCATAATTTGCAGGTTTGTTGACGCCTAAATCAAAGGACGCTTTACAGGCAGGAAAAATAAGTCAATAAGATAAGGGAAACCCTCATCTGGAGTGATAAAGACTAATCCCAGCTCACTGGACTTCACAAACAGCCTTCATTTAGCTGCTTTTCAGTTTCAAATGGTGAATTGTTTAAATGGATGACAAAAGAGCCTGAAACACATGAGGATGAGATCAGCTTGGCTCTGAGCTTTGCTGAATGTGTATCCTTTACTGTCCCATAACATGTAAAAATGCAACTTTGGAGCATCTGATGAAAACACCCAGATGACCTCAGTGTCAGGGTATGTTAGCACGTGCCACATAAATGAGTCAGTGATCCAGAATTTACACTGCAGGGATGAGAAAAATCCCCAAATCCCTGCCACTAAACAGCAGATAAGCAAAACCTGAAATAAACAATGCCAGCTCGTCTGTGTAGCATTTTCTAAATATCTCTAATGGTTATTTATCCACTGCTTTAAAAAGTCCTGATCAAAAACACGATTCACTGTTGTTTAAGTGAAAATTCCAACGTGAATTTATTTTTGTTTAGCATACAATTAATGTTTTACACTGGATGGCTCCTAAAGTAAAGCTTGATTTGGAAAAAATAGGTCCCTAAACCATTATCTAGATTGAAAAAATACATTTTTTTTGGTGCTTTTTACCAAGACGGTGACACAATTGTTTCAATCGTGGCCGCTTTCCTTTCTGATTCGGGACCTAAATAAAACTGTGAATGTCACCAGAGAGCAGAAACATTACTGCGGGGGGCTGTAAGCACGTCTGGCCTGGAAGAAATGTCCATTTATTTTCCCAGATCGGATCAAAACAAACGCAATGTAAAGGGGAAGAGAAAAAAAAAAAAGAAAGAAGGATTACGTTCCAGAGCCTGAAAAATACACGTTATGAGCATTATTGACTCGGATACACACCCGTACCACATAAACACAACGCAGTGTTCTATCACCAGAGCCATCAGCCGCCACCGCAGACCGACTGACCGATCGATGGCTGGACGTTAGTCACCGTTTTCACCAGGAAGGAGGCCCTGCTCGTGCCCTGATAAGAATCGGTTACATCCTTTTCGAAAATAAATAAATAAGCAAATAAATAACATCCAGCGTGGCTCTGATCGGATTAAAGGGAGAAAGGGAAGGGCAAGAAGAAGCCACCGTGAGGTATGGCCCGGCAAATTGGAGCTAACAGTTGGGCCAGAGAGTCCATTTTGGGGCGTAATTTACACAGTGTGGAGCATGAGCTGAATCTAATGTCGTTTCCATCAATTTTTTTGCATTTTGGCCCACTTTTTCCTCCCCCCCCCTTTATGCTTTTAGCGGTCATCTGAGTCGTCTGGTGGAGGACAGCAGGCCGGCGTGACGATGTCAAAGACGAGGTTTGGAGTGAGAGGAGGTTCTTTATGGCCGCCTGCCGCCGTGGAAACGGTGCTGAGCCATCAACTAAGAGGCCAACGATATGCTAATAGGTTAAGAGGACAGAATAGTCCCAGACAAGCCTCTTAATGGATGTTTTTTTTATCTGCGGGTCAGGAGTCTCATCAGCTCCAATCTCCCCTGACAAGATGTGCCAAGTCAAATTTAGCCACAAAGGGGGCTTTTAACGAACAGGCCGCGGGGCAGCACACAAAAGCAACGCAAACGCACAACAGAGCTTGTGGTGAAATGTAAAAGCGGACGGCAAACAATGGGGAGAGCCGTTTGCAGGGAGACGACGTTTCAGAGGGAAAAACGGAGCCAACAGGTCCGGCTGGTTTTGCTTCCTGAGCCGAAACAGACCGGTTTCCTTTAAAACCCCAAAGCTGAAATAACGGGAGCTCAGACGTGGTCCAAGTGCCCTCTCTGTACAGATCCTTTGCTTTGAGAATCTGAAGTGGGAGCCTGTACTGTTGTCGGTCCTTTAGTTTCGCTCTAACACAGAAAAAAAGGAAATCAGTCAACTAAAAAGTTTGTTTAGAAGAATTTTCCATTAGAAAAAATGAAGATAATCCAGCGCAGCTAGCCTGTTTTTGTCTCTTACTGCTTTGTTCGCTTTGCTGAAACTGCCATTTGTCCCAAAAGAGAC